CAATAAATGATTTAAGGAATTAACAATTGGGCAATTTGTATCAATCAAGATCGTAGACTTTGGTTTATTACTTATTGTTTTGGTGTTTGCAGCAATATGTGTGAATCAAGTTTTATTGATAACTTAAATGTTTAAATGTGTATTAACTGACAACTACATTTGTAAGATTTAAAAAAAAATGTTTGATTCCATGTGGTCCATCTAAACTTTATATCAGTAGATGTAAATGATTAAGTTCATCTGTTGCACAAAGAACCCAACAGTGATGATGGACTAAACATTAAAACTATCAGGTAACTTATTCCTGCCTATCCTTGATATTGATCCCATGAAAACCATCTGTTTGTGAGTCACAGTGACTCCACCTGTGCATGCATGGTGACATAGTGAAGCCTACAGCAGCCCAAACTGGGCAGTGATGATAGTGGGGGGGGCTGGGTGTGAAGGTGAGGGGGGGGTGATGCTGGTAGCGGGGAGCGTGCCAAATGAGCACATGAGGGCAGTAATGTGATCTGATTTGAGTGACAGGCCCCCTATTTTTTCTGCAGAGGTTTGACATGAGTATAAGAGGCCAAAGGTCCGACTGCAGACAGAAGAGACAGACAGAGAGACGCTGAACATCACAGCAGAGGACCAGTGGACTTAACTCTACCTCCAGATACTTACAGAAGAAGAATGGGACTGCACAGTGTTGAGGAACTGGTAAGATCTGACAATAATAGCCAATATGGGACAGTGGGGAGCAAGTTTCCTTGAGTTAAAACATTACTGATGGAACAAATCAAGCAGCCAAAATAAAACCAAAAAAGGAATGAAATATATCAAATATATAGTTTAATTTAAATTTTTTGTTTTTTACTATTGTACTGTTTATAAAATTTAAAGAACCAATAAATCAGGATTTTTTTTGTTCTTAACATACCTGAGAGAGAAAATGATGTATGGTGAGGACACTCCGTTCTGGACTGACGATAGTTAGAATATGTTGTGTGTGGTCTCAGCCTTTTTATATTTTCTTCATTTTTTTTATATTTGACATTTAAAGCATGTCATAGTCTGTCTGTCTCATACTTAACATATTCAATAGAAAACCAAAAGAAATGTGTTTCCCAAAACAAGTTAAATAAAGATTAGGACAACCGAACACTCCTTACCTCCAAACAGTACATTTCCCAACAGAAGTCTAACCAGGACTGATAATCAAGACATTTTTCTTCACTTTTTCCAGATATGCTTAGATCAGTGTGGAGTCTTGCTGTTTCTACACATTATCTATTTTTTTATACCAAAAAGTTAACCTACTTACAAAGAAACGCATGGATGCATGGATCTTTTCTCCTTTTAAATGAAAGCACAGGGAAGAAACTTTTTTATTGTTTATCATTCACTGTTTCTTTATTGTTTTACCATCTTTATTTCCTTTAGGTGTCCGGTAAGAGGTCAGAGGGCAAAGAGGCTGATGACTACCAAGGGGGCGCGTATGAGACAGCTGTCAATCAAGAGAAGAAGGATGAACACAAGTCCCACAGAGAGCTGGTGGACGGGGGTCTGTCTGAGGAGAGCAACAGTGGCAGCGAGCATGAGGAAGTCAGCGTGGGAGCGCTCAATGTGAGAACAACAGTGCAGTGATAGTTATATTAATCAGGGTTCATACAGAGGTCATTGAACTAACACTTATTTGGATGCAAATATTTTAGTGCAAATCAAAGTCGCACTCAAGCTATACGATTAAAAGCTCTGAGTTGATAAGAGGACTTTCAGCTGGTATGGGAGATCCTAACAGGGCTCTTTTCATATACCATTTGTTATGCAAGAGCATGCACACAGTGCTTAAGTCTCTAGACCATCAAGTCTCTTGTAGTTAAAATATTATGATGTTATTAATACAAATAACAAGGATAGTAAGGATATACAACTCAATGCTGTTCAAAATGTACAAATCAGGCGATATAAGTAAGAACTATTGTGCAACTTAGGAAACAAATAAACGTGGGTCTTTTGAGCCCTGAGTATTTAAAGAGTCGTCAAAAAGGGGCCGGTCATATTTGTAGAAATGTTCATTTAGGCAAATATCATATTCAGAATAAAAGCATTTATCAATGGGTATTCATGATGTACAAACACTGATCCATCCATTAATTGTATCGCTCATCCCATCCCAACAGTGCATTTATCATCCAGAACAGTAAATAATGCACATTTTATACATTATGATAATAATAAGTAGAAAAAGGTAATTTATCATTAGTTTCAATGAATCACAAGTCCACAAAGAAGCTGTATGATCTTCCACTTCAGGTTGATTCTTCTCGTGTTTTTGTTGTATTAGATATTGCTGACCAATGCTAAAATTAAGAGATACAGTGATTATAGCTCTTATAATAATAACACTGAATAATATGTAAAAGAACAAATATTAGAATTACAGAACATACAAAACTGATAAATTGGACAAGAATACCCAAAGAGGTGAGCGTTGTGGGCTCGAGCTGTAGTTCACTTTCAGTTCAAGCTTTTGCAGAGGTTACTAGAAATGTAGCTAACTTTCAAACGTGTCCAATAAAATCCATGCTAATTGTTTTTTTTTTTTCACGTGATCTGACTTAAGGATAAGGCTGATGCTTGTCTGTGAAAGCCTGCAGTTGCCTACTTTGAGCGTATCTTTTGGTTAATACTGCTGCCTGGTGGCCTTTGAGAAAAAGACATTTGTATCTATTAATTGGTAAAATGAAATCCCAACTCCTTATATTTTTTACTTTAGTTGCCGTATTCAAATGTATAAGGCATTCAAAAATTGGAACACATCAATCTACTTTGTAGTATTTAGCTTCAAACGCCATGTTATTGTAATACTCAGACACATTTCACTGCCAGATTTGTTTGCTTTTAAAAACAGGACTCAGTGATTTGTGACGACACTTTAGTCATTTTGTTATTAAACTTGAAAATAGAAGCTGCTCATCACATCAGGTTTCTTCATGATCTTCAACTGTTGCTGCTTTGTGCTGAATCCTTCTTGTTTGTCACTGTCCTGTCAGACGGATAAAAGCGGCAGGCTGAAGTTGGAGACGGTGGACGACCTGTTCAACATCCTGCAGCTGAAGAAGAGGAGGAGAGAGAGGAAGGTCCCTGTGCACAAGAAGAGACAACAGCCAGAGCTTGAGACTGTGGTGAGGGTTTATTCTCATCCAGGGGCGGGTCAATCCTTTTTTGACAGAGGAGGCCCGCCGGGGAGACACTGACTTATGCAAGGGTGGCACAAAGTTTGTGGGCACACGTTTGCAAATGAATTACATTTTTGAACCCTTTCTTAAGGGACTCAAAAACATTGATGTATGTGCAAAATCACACTTTTAAATATGTAAAAAAAAATTGCATGCAAACTGTTGCACTCTTTTAACTTTCAAAAATAAATTGATTGGCAATGAATGTTCATTTACAACTGAAAGTACTACTGTACCAGTAGCCTGTTGAAGACAGCCAGAATAGTTGACTTTTTCTTAAGACCCGCCTCTGATTAGGTAAATAGCCAATCAGGACAAAAGGATGTTTTTTCTTGAAACTCTGTGGCTTTGAATACACTGATGGTTAAGTTTAATATTTTAAACTAAAGGAGGCATCGATTTTTTGTAACTCAGCTAAGCCCTCATGTGGACGCCTCTATTACAGGATGAAGAGAGTTGAGATGAAGGAAAGTCAGCATACTGTAACTTTAGAAGCTTCACTCAATAAAAAAAAAAAAATGTTCTTTTGAAATTTTAGTGTATTGTAGAGTTGGCATGCGATAGGAAAACAAAAAAAGGAAGAAAAAAAAAACATCCCTGGATACTCCAAACATTGAAATGGTGGAATAAATCAGCTGGATTGTTTTCAAACATATGTTATTCATTGAGTGTTAGAAAAAAACACATTTCTTTCAACCGCAGCTATTAAATGTACTTTTGTTTGCATATACTTTCCAGCCAGAGTATGTGGATGAGCAGCTTTTTCTGACAGCAGCCATGGAGAACAAAGTGCCTGTGGTGGAAAAGTACCTGACTGATGGAGGAAACCCAAACGCAGCAGACCACGTAAGTTTGACACTGAAACATCTGCGTCTGGAAACTTTTCGAAGTCGCAAGGGACATGTTAAACAAATGTGCACATCCAACAAAGTATATGTTTATGGAAAATCCATGAAAATAAGAGCAGAGGCTTTGATATTGATCTAATGTTATACTGAGAATTGTTCAAGTAGAGTAATTGATGGATAAAGCAAAATTTATAAATCAGCTGTTTGTCTCATAATACTTTCTCTTAGTTTCAGAGAACAGCTCTGCACAAAGCCTCGTTTAAAGGACACGTGGACGTCATGAAAAGACTCCTGGAGGCTGGAGCTGCCATCGATAAAAAAGACAAGGTGACTGATGATTGTTCTGTTTTTTAACGTATATTTATAATACACCATAATAAAGTTATAGAGACACACCCAGCACAGAGACAACATCTGTCTAACAGGTGTGTGTGTGTGTGTGTGTGTGTGTGTGTGTGTGTGTGTGTGTGTGTGTGTTGTGTGTGTGTTTCAGCTGGAGGCCACAGCGGTGCACTGGGCCTGCAGAGGAGGCAGCCTGCCTGCCCTGCAGCTCCTCCTCGACCAGGGAGCCAAGTTTACCTACAGAGACAAGGTGAGCTCGCACACTGAGTGAGGGAGAGGGGTTACTATAGGTCATCTATGATGTCATCTATAGCATGGAACACAGCTCCCTAAGTCTATGATGATTAATGAGTTCATGTTCAATGAATAAAGATGAGGCCTTTTGCTGTTTTCTTTACTTTTTTTGCATTAATCATCAATCTGAACTGCTCTCCTCTCCTCAGCTGCACAGCACTCCTCTCCACGTCGCTGTGAGGACGGGACACTGCGAGTGTGCCGAACATCTCATTCACTGTGGAGCAGATGTCAACGCCAAAGACAGAGTAAGACATGAAACAGAAATTCACTCACTCATAAAGTTGTGCAATATCTGCAAATATAATTTAAAAATAAAAACACTATAATTAAGCTCTCTATTAAGTGCCAAGTTACTGTAGCAGAGCTGTGTTGAGGAGCTGCCAGTGTCAGCTGCAGCCCTTTTTCTTACAAGCATAATGAAAATATTTTCTCTGGTTAATTTCACACTCTGAGGGATGCCTTTGATTACACCATGACAGAAACATGAGTTGAGCTTGCTGGCCTGAAAATCTTGTTTACCTAATTGCTGAATTTCTGTTCTTTGTTTCTGTGCTGAAGGACGGAGACACGCCCATGCACGATGCTGTGAGAATAAACAGGTTCAAGATGATTAGGCTGTTGATGATGTACGGAGCCAGCCTCAACACTAAGAACTGTGTAAGTACACGGAAAACACCTGAAAGATGCTCTGAAAATGTAAGCTGTGTGCAAAGGATCTTCATGTGTAATTTGACCATTGATGCATACAGAGGATTAAGCACTGTTTCAGACATAAACACACACCACATGACCTTTCTCTCAGACTGGACATGAGCTTCCTGAAACCAAACATGCTCTGTGTCTCTTATCAGAATCAGTGGCACTCCATGCCGGGCTTATAATAATGGGAATCCCTCAATGATAGCTTGCATCCTGCCTATGGTGGTAGTAGCAGCTTTAAACATGTTAAATTTAACAGCACAACAGCTGCTATAGAGATCACAAGCGCCTCTGATAGCTAGATCATGTTGAAATAATCCTAGTCGCCAGCGCACATCGAAGAAAGTCTTGGCTGAACATCCTTTATCGCTAATCGCTGGCTACACCAACAGCGCAGGAAAGTCAACTTTACCGCCGAGATACTATATCATCATCAAATAATAGGTTTTCTTTGATGGTAGATTGGTTCCAAAGTTGTGTGATCATGGCGTGAAGAAATCAGGGAAGGATATTATGACTGATAACACATTGTTTAAAGGCTGTATTTTGTCTCCTGTGCAGGATGGAAAAACTCCAATGGAGACGCTGTATTCATGGCAAAACGGAGCCAAGAGCCTCATGTGCAACTTCAGCCAGGAGAAACCCAACCAGTAAAACCAACACATTCCAGTAAAAATCAGGAATACAACATGAAATTCAGCCACATTATCTGAACCTTTATAGGAGATAAAGGTGTTGAAAATGACGGGATAGACATGCATAGTGTGGATTAGGAACCGCTGGCTCACATGTTGACTGACAGCTCTCGATACCCTCAAGAAGTAACTGCTACTAAATCTAAGCTTGCCTCAGATGGATCGAGTGTTGGGACGTGGCATAACTAAGAGATTTGAGCTGGCCACCCTCCACGCTTTAATCTGGAGTCATGTGGCAGGGTTTCATTTTCTCATGTGAAATGATAATTAAACACGGGTTGTTCAGGGACATATGGAAGGAGATCTCGATTAACAATGTGAATCTTATCAGGATTTATCAGTGATGTGATGATTAGCACAGATAGATTTGTTGAGCGCCAAATATTGCTGGACAATGTCTCGGCTGACGGCATGAGGATTTTTCTTTCTTTATCTTAATTATTTATTTTAGCTGAGTTGAAGTCAGCAGTACATCTGAAATGACCGAGCCTATTTATTGATTTATGACTTTTTTTGCAATCAGTGTATGGTCTTTGATGGATTTATTTTGACACAATGTACTTGATATTTGAGTGACAATGTAGAGTTATACTCTAGATAGTTTAAAGATGTTTTTATGTATTTATTTTTTCATTTCAAATGCAGGAACTAATCCTGTCTTTACTGGAAGATGAAGTGTGCATTTTCAAGAGACAGAATGCAGAAAGATTTAGTAAGTTCAGTAAGGTTGAGGCACCCATTTTCTTTTCTTTTTTATTGATTATCCACAGATTTAAAGTTATATATTATCTGCACACACACAACACTCACACACGCACACACACACACACACACTGAAGAGAAGAGAAAAGTCATTGTTGGTTCAGAGAATGATGTTAGTGTGGTTAAAACTGATTTTGGTTATTGGATGGTAATAAAACATTATTCTTAATGTTTAAGATGTATGTACATATTACCTTGTATGTATGGATTGCTTGAATAAAGCTGTTTTTTAAATTGACTCATCTCAATCTTTTTTTAAAGATTATTTTGTGCTTTTATTTTGCTGCCCTTATGTTGATATAAAGCTAAAGAGTGATACTTAATGTGGGGAGAGAGAGAGAGTGGGGGTTGACGTTTACCAAACAGGGCTACCTCAAACCAGTCCTACGAGGAGTGTGGCCTTCAAAGGGGAGCTTTCTCTACAAACCGAGCTGAACCGACGCCCCTGATTTGACTTTTCTTTCATTGAGAAAGTCAAAGATAGACATGGCTACTACCAGTGATGTCCCTGTGATGTGATAACTATGAGGACTGAGCTGCACTATTTAAATACATTATGATTTTAAGAATGAAGAAGACTTCTGTAGGGCCTATGAGATGAGAAATCTTTTTATAATATATATATATTTAAAGGATATATATATATTTTTTTTTCTTTGTTTTCTTTGAGCACCAAACCATGATCTGAAACGTCTTATTATTGTGTTACTGTCCTCTTAATATTCTTTACTTTAAATTGGAGCTAGAAAGCAGGAGTATCCCATCCTCAGAATAATAAAGATCCTATCATTAAGAGGTCCTTAAGTCTATAACAGGAAATGTGTCATGGCTCTGGCTGTCTCTGTGGGCATGGCGTTCCAGTTACACTCTAACACGGACAGCCTCCGCCATGCAATTGCCAATCAAGGTGCCCTCATGGGTCAGCATGACCAGACTCTTCGCAACATTACGGAAACATTGAGGAACCTGTAGCCCGGATTGGAGCTCATGTCTTCACACAACTCTCTCCTTCAGCTCTGGTAGACCAGCCAAGCCCCGTTGCTCCTGTGCCTCCGGTAACTCAACTCACTCATCTTCCCAGAGAGCCACATGTACCAGCACCAGAGCGCTATGCAGGAGACCTAGGTATGTGTCAGGCTTTCCTGATTCAGTATACCTTAGTCTTTGATCAGCAACTGTTAACCTACGTTACTGATAAATCTAAGATAGCGTATATAATGGGGCTTCTTAAAGAGCCCATATGAGATGAGATGAGATGAGATGAGATTCAACTTTATTGTCATTACACATATACAAGTATAGAGTAACGAAATGAGGTTTGGCATCTCACCAGAAGTGCAAATAAGCAGAAAGTGCAAGAGTCTGTGCTATGTACAGTAATTACAAAATTTACAGATGTAGATAAAAAAAGTGATATTATGCCCTTTTTGAGGTTTGTATATTTAATCTATGTACCTACTTTTGTACATTCACAATAGCTAAAGTCTGAAAAAAGTGTCTGTTTTCATGTACTGCTCCTCCTTGCTCCCTCTACGCTCTGAGTCCATCAGCTACGCTCTGCTGAGCCCACACTGTTAGACCCCACGTGGGCCAAGTCTGCTCTGATTGGTCTGCCGATCCGCTCTGTCGTTATTGGTCAGTTGCTCAGCACGCGTCTCAGAAATTTCAACATGAGCTGCAGGGCTTGCCACAACGAGCCAATTGACTTAGATCAGTGATCTCACACTGACAATGACGTCACACTGACACATTTTTATCGAGGGGGGCTAGAACCGAGCGTTACATGCAGCTAATGCTACAGCTAACAGGAGGACGTAGGAGAAGCCTTCCGCGGACTTTGAATTTTTGCACATAGATGTGCCTAAACATGCACAGGACACTTGGAAAACACACTACAGAGCATATAAAACCAGAAAAAGCATAATATGGGACCTTTAAGGGTAATGCGTTAGCCTGGGCATCATCTATTTGGGACAGCGAATCAACAGTTAAGTCTTCTTATGATGACTTTATATCTGAGATGAGAAAGGTGTTTGATCATCCTGTTAAGAGTAAAGATGCAGCTAAGCGACTCCTATCTCTTCGACAGGGTTCCCGCAGTGTAGCAGAGTACTCTGTTGAGTTCAGGATTGTTGCAGCTGATTCAGGGTGGAATAATGAGTCACTCCAGGGGATTTCTGTTAATGGATTACATGACTCCGTTAAGGATGAGTTTGCTGCTAGGGATGATCCAGACAGCCTTGATGAATTGATTTCACTTTCCATTAGACTAGATAATCGTCTTTGTGAGCATCATAGGGAAAGATCTAGCCGTCCCTCACCTGGGTCTCCTTCATGCTCCTCCCCATAAGTCCCTGTTAAAAATGAGCCCTGACCCCTTCACAGTTTCCCGACCTGACTCCTCAACCTCCAACCCCGAACCCATGCAGCTGGGCCGGACACACCTCTCTCCAGCTGAACGTCAACGCAGAATGAAGTCAGGAGTGTGTATCTACTAAAAGCCAGCCATGTTCTTGCTGTCTGGGGGGTCTGGTGTCCCTGACACTGCTCGCCCTAGTGGATTCTAGGGCAGATGAAAGCTTTCTGGAAGCTAACCTTGTCTGTCAGGCAGGCATAACAACCGAGCTGCTCTTGTCACCCCTGGATGCCAGTGCCCTCAATAGTGAACTCCTGGCCAGAGTTACTCTACGCACAGCACCCGTGCACCTCATTATCTCCGGCAACCACCATGAGGACATCCAGTTAAATGTCATCTCTTCCCCCCGTGCTCCAGTGGTTCTCGGCCAGCCATGGTTAAAGTTGCACAATCCTCATATCGACTGGGCCGCAGGCAAGATCAAAAGCTGGAGCTCCTTCATTCTTCCTGTCTGCAGTCTGCCCGGTCTCCTGCAGAGGCTGCTGTGCACCCCACTGCCTCTGAACCTCCACACCTCTCAACCTATCATGACCTCGGGGAGGTTTTCAGTAAGCAGCATGCTATCTCTCTGCCTCCACACCGTCCCTATGACTGCACCATAGACTTGCTACCTGGAGCTCCCTTACCCTGCAGTCGGTTGTTCAACCTGTCCCGTCCGGAAAGAGAAAGCATGGAGAGATACATTCAAGAGTCATTAGCTGCGGGCATCATCCAACCATCATCTTCTCCTGCGGGCGCAGGATTCTTCTTTGTAAGCAAGAAAGATGGCTCCCTGCGTCCCTGCATTGACTACCGGGGTCTTAATAATATAACAGTTGAAAACAAATACCCCCTTCCACTGATGAACTCTACCTTCGAACCTCTCCATGGAGCAACTGTCTTCACCAAACTGGATCTCAGGAACGCCTACCATCTGGTCAGAATCAGGAAAGGAGATGAGTGGAAAACGGCTTTAAACCCGCCGCTTGGTCATTTTGAGTACCGGGTCATGCCGTTTGGATTAACATCAACATCTGGTAAATGGTGTCCTCCATGACTTCCTAAACCTCATTACCAATCAACCCCTCTGTTTATGTGTCCTGCATCTGGGTCCTAAATTCACTGGTCAAAACAAAAAGAAGAACCTGCTATGACACTTCAGACTGCTCGCTGTTAGACAGTCACTCAGAAATCCTGCTGACCTTTGACCTTGATCTCTGATTGGCTGCAATGTAGCCAAGATGCAGTGGTTTGATGTGTTGCTATCTATTTCTTTACCACCATGAACCTGTCTCCTAACAGTGATATCAGTGTATTTCTGTGGCCACATGCCCAGCATGGTTGGACACTGTCACAGATGATATTTTCCAAAGAGGATGATCACTCTGTGAGTTTATCTAAAACCTGGAAACACTACACGAGTTCTAAAAGATTTTGAAAATACGAGACACCCCACACACGAAGACAAATAGTGTATGTCTTGATAGTGTGTCTTGTACAACCAGATGACCAACTCAGCACAACACACACCAACAGATTCATTCACCAACAAACAGAGTCCTGACTCTCAAAACTCGTAATCCAACGTGGTCAAACGTGATTTACGATTAAACAAACATGGTGGACAACGAGCTGGATGTATTGATGACGGTGGTTTCAGGACTAATGTCCTTGTATAAACACTTGTATGGTCACCAAAAATCAACAAGTGGGTTCTTCATTTTTGACGTCCATCTAACATTATACTTTGTGTTTGATGTTGTTGCCATGGCTGTGTTCGATGTGCTTGCTTCCTGATAGGCTATTGTATATTCCGTATATTCAATTATTCTACACATTATGCAACACAAACATGTATACTTAATTTGAATGTTAACCTTTGCTTTCATTGG